GCATTTATTAATTCATTTACTCTACAAATACTTATCATCGACTGTGTGAGAGTTGATGTCTCAGGTACTGGAAACTAAGTAGGAAAAAGAACATACAAAGCCCCCGGCCTTGACAAAACTTCAACATCCTGTGGGGAAAGAAGGTACATGGTGATGTTCAAGTTTCAGGTCTTGCTTGGTGAATGACGGGACCATTTTCTGAAATAGGCATTATAAGAGGCAGAACAGGCTTGGGGAGAAATGATGGGTTCAACTTTATCTATTTGACAAAGGTTTGGATGTTTGGTGGAAACCCAAGTGGAGCTACCCAGCAAGCTTGGATATGCATATTTGGAAAATTCTGGAAGGGACACATAGATGTGAGAGCCATGGTATATGAATTGTATCAAATCCCTGGGAGTGAATGAGATAACCCTGGGAGGATGCATGGAAGCAAGAGTCACAGCTCAAATGACTACAGGGCTCAGGTGAGTCATGAATGTATGTGAATTGGGTCATATGAGAAATAGAGTGTTGGTTTTGTGGCTAAACCGAAGAGTATATTCTGTCTAAGTCAGCAAGATTTGGCTGGTGGGCCACCAGTTTGCAATTCCTACACTTTTAGAACTTCTTTCTATGCCTCTTGTCTCACTTTTCAAATAAATATTTGTATGGTAGGCAGCTGGCTGTTCATGAAAACCCATTTTCTCTTTGAGACACTCATTGCAGTTCTTAGCCTCCTTGCCATTACCAGTGGCTGTGACTGGCTTCTAGCCAATGGGATATGAGCTCAATTTCCAGCCAAGGCCTTGAAGATGAGGGTGTGCCCCTCCATACTCTCTCCTCTTCCTCTACCGCTATGTACATGATAATGAACTCCAGAGAATTTTGGAGTCACAGATGGAAGGGACCGGGGTTTCCGTATCTTTGTCTGAAATAAGGCCACCTTCCAACACGACATCTTCTTTTGACTACTATCTGAGTGAAAAATAAACCTTTGTTATGTTTGAGCCATTATACATGTTTGGCCCTGTTTGTTACTACATCCTAGCCTAACGTAAGGAATCCATTGCTAAACCACACTAATCCTGGCTGTGACATCTCTAAGGTCAGGGACCATGTCTGTCCAGTTCCTTCATGCATCCTCAACACACAGCCCAGGACATAGCATGCAGTAGGCACTTAATACAATTTCTTGACAATGCTAGCTGTGTTTTATTGAGCATGTTTTATGTGCCAGACACTGTGCTAGATTTTTTATATATTGGGCATTATTTTATTTCACGTAATCACAACTCTATAAGGAAGGTTCATTATAATACTTTTTTCTTGAGGATTGGAAAGCTTATAGCTGGTATTTGAAATGAGGCAGGGTGACTACAAAACCCACACTCTGAAACACCGGTACATGACTACATACATACTCATTTTAACATTTTAACTCATGTACTTTCTCCCACCAAAAATGCCCTCAACTCCTCCTCCCCATTTATTGAAGCCTGCCTCCTGCTTCCTTCCTAGCACCCATACAATCATTCTACCCTTTAATTAGTCCAGCAGGAATTTCATATATATCATTACTACAACAGGGATTCCATGTATTTGTCTGCTTCCAGAAAGAAGTTATCTTGAGGGTAGCACAATATCTTAGACATTATTCATCTTGGTGTTCCTTAAAACACAGGGAAAGATGGAGAACCTGCCCTGTGCCAGGCACTCTAGGCACTGAGGGCTAAACTGTAAATAAGACAGAGACAATCTTTTCTTTTGAAAAGCTCTATTCTTGTGGGAGTAAACAGGCATAAAAATGCATCACAGCACAATGTAATCTCTGCATTAATAGATACAGAAGAGAGGGGAACCAGCTCTTTCTGGAGGAGGAAAGAAAGGACTCCCATTGCAAGTGACCTTTACCTGAGCTTCTGAAGACTGAGTAGGAGTTCTCCAGTTGTTTAAGAGGAATCTTAATTAGTGGGGAAAGCATTTACAAAAGTGTGGATACATCAAGATGCAGGAGTTGTTCTGGATGAATGAGGTATTGGCTTGCTAAAATGTAGGACTCCTTCATTGATTCATTAATTTCTTCAACAGATACTAAGTAAACCTAGAATGTGTCAGGGATTACACTAAATGTAGAGGATTCAAAAGTGAGCAAAACAGATACGATCCCTATCCTTGCAGAGCTTAGAATCCAGCAAGGATGGCAGCTGATTACAAAGCTCTAGCAATCATGTGTGAGAGGAAAGGAAGAAGGGATAGCCCACACGTGAGTGAGAAGCTGAAGTGGGCTGGTCCAGACTGCAAGAGACCTTTGACACCATTCTAGGAAAAAGGAAATCCCTCTTCAATCTATCACCAAGTCCTGCCTCTCCCACCTCCTTGATAGCTCTCAAGTGTGCCCAGTCTTCTCACTGCCACTATTCTCAGTATAGGTCATCCTCTCTTCCTTGAATGAATGTGACAATCTTCTAAAAGGCTTTCTTGCCTCTCATCCTCCACCCCCACCCACTGTCCTCAATGCAAACAGAGGGATCTTTAAAAATCAAAATCTGTTCATGTTATGTCCGATGGTAGGCAGAATTCTAAGACAGCCCCCCATAATCTCCATCTCCCAGGAGGATATTTTGGTTATTATTTTACAGTACCCAGCAAATGGGGATTTTCTGATATAATTAAGGTTACTAATCAGTCGACCTTTAGACAGAGATATTATCCAGGTGTGTTTGGCTAATCAAGCACTTTAAAAGCAGAGTTTTCTCTAGCTAGTAGCAGAAGGGGATGGCAGATTGATTAGAAGCAAAGGAGGACTGGATGGATTTAACCTGTGGTTGCTGACTTTAAAGTTGCTGGGAATGAGGATATTTCATGGAAAGGATCTGAGAAAGTCCTGTAGGAGCTGAGAGTGACCTTGGAGGACAGCCAATAAGAGAATGGGGACCTCAGATCTACAACTGAGAGGAACTGGATCAGGCAAGCAACCTGAGTGGATTTGGAAGTGGATATTCCCCCAGAGCCTTCAGACGAGAACTCGAACAAGCCTATGCCTTGCCTTTTGCCTGGGACATCCTGAGCAAAGTATGCAGCAGCCATGCCAAGTTGGACTTCTGATCTACAGAACAGTGAAGTAACAGATGGGTGTTGCTTTAAGTTTGTAATAATTTGTTACACAGCAAAAGAAAACTAATAACTTCCCAGCTTTCCAACCCTCCAATAAAACTACTGTGGATTTACCAGGCCTAGGCATTCAATCCTTACACCAGTTCTATTAGGGAGGTATTTTTATTATCACCATTTAATTTTCACCATTTCATTTCATTTTATCATCACCATTTCACAGATAAGGAAACTGAAGCTCAGAGAGATTAATACTTTTCCTAAGGTTATAGAGCTAGTAAGTAAGTGGTGCTGAGGTTTTTCACTTGGCTGTTCTGGCTCCAGATTTCCACTCTATGGGTTCTCATTGTCTTTAAGATAAATCCAAATCCATCAGCATGAAATTAAAGGCCCTTCCTGATCCCGTTCCTGTTCAATCATCCAACCTTAATTTTAGACGTTCCTCTCAAATGCCTGACAGCCCCAGTAACTAACATGCTCTTGATTCCTGACTTGGCGCTACAGTTCCTTCTGGAATACTGCCTGTCCCTCCCCTCCATCTACTTTCCTTTTGGCAGACTCTGATGGTCCTCTGGGTCTTGTCTAAGACACCTCCTCTGGGGGAAAGCCTTCCTTCCCCCTCCCAGATGGGTTGGATGCCACTCCAGGTTCCCCTAGAACCTCAAGCTCTCCCTTATCAGAGAACACAGGGCATTGTGTTGGGAATGTTTACTTAGCTGTGCTCTCCCACTAGATTGTGAACTCTTTGCAAGCCAGAACTGGTGATTTGTTCATTGTCAAATCCCTAGCATAGGACCTGGAGCACAGTAGGTACTCAATAAATATTTGCTGAGTGAATCACTGAATGATCAAAAGTGCTTTAACCAAGAGGCAATAGGGAGCCACCCAAGGTCTTGAAGAAAGGGAGTGAGTTTATTATTAGAGCTGTGCTCACAAGGACAAGCTCAGGGCAAGCCCTGCACACAATGGACCATCCTCGTCAGCAGATAGGGATGAAACAAGTTCATTTGCATTGTAGCCTTGGGTTTCTTGTGCTGTAAAGTTTGGCTGTTATCTCTTCTGGACGACCTCTGAATATTAGAAAATGCCAGAAACTTTCACGGTTTCCCCTTATGGAGGTGGAAAGCATAAAAATAGCTTGTGACTTAGGTCTGGGCCCTGCACTCCCACTAGAATGAGGAGCCCCTCTCCCCAGAAGGCAGTGGGTGAAGGTGACGTGGAGACCCACTTACCTTACACTACAGGGAACCGGCAGCCGCCTCTGAACTTCTGTCCCCTTCCAGCCCAGACCATTCCATGCCTACGCTTGTCCCCAGAGCACATCGCCAAATCTTGTTCTCCTTAGATATACAAATATTGCTTCCAGTAGAGGAAGACTGGGAGGTCTTCCGCGTTAGAGACAGCACTTATAGCTGCTAGCTGGTCCTGCAAAGCGATTAGAGCGTCTCCATTAGAGACCGCTGAGTGCCTCGGTTTCCCTGTCTGTGCAAAGTGCACTCCCCGGACACCGCTGCCTTGAGGGAACAGGAACTGCCTCTGGAGGTGCCAGGAAAAATGGGAAAGTCAAGATACGTCCAGCTAGGTAAAGACACAAGGAGAGAAGCCAGCAGGCCAAGGGAGACGCACAGCTGATCCTTGTCGAGGCGCGGGCTCCACTCCCTTTAGCGGAGGGGCCCTTGAGTCTTCCCTTGCGTAGGCGCGCGGCAGAGCAGCGATTTGGCGAAAAGGGCCAAGACTCAGGATGCCTGCAGCGCGAGCGAGGGGCTGACCCGGCTCACCCGCCGTGGCGAGGCTGCGAGGGGCGGGCCTGGGCCCTGCGCCTCCTGCACTCCCAGCCACAGCTCTGGGCACTGTGGGCGGGAAAGGGTGGAGCCATGTGGGGAGGAGCAAAACTCGGAGGTCCCGGGCACCTTGGGCAGAGCCAGAGCGGCGGGAGCCGGTCCCGGGCACGTAGACCCTGGAGCGCCCGTCGTCCGGGCCGAGCCTAGCTGCAACCACGGCCACAGCCGCAGTCGCTTTCCAGCCTGCCTTCGGTGCGCAGCGGGGGAACAGGGCTAGTGCAGCCGCCGTAGGGGGGGAAGGGGTCCTCTCCCATCCCAGAGCTACTGGGCTGCCCTTGCTGTCCTTGCCGCCCCAACAGGGCCCGACCAGACCTGCCACCTGCGCCCTGGTTACGCCATGGATCCTTCGGAGAAGAAGATATCGGTGTGGATCTGCCAGGAAGAGAAGCTGGTGTCTGGCCTCTCCCGCCGCACCACTTGCTCGGACGTTGTGCGAGTGCTTTTGGAGGACGGCTGCCGGCGGCGAAGGAGACAGCGGCGGAGTCGGCGGCGGGGGTCGGCTGGAGACCCGCCTGGCCTGGGGGAGCTGCCTGAACCCCCGGACGAAGATGACGAGGACGACGACGAGGCGCTGCCGCAGGGCATGCTGTGCGGGCCCCCTCAGTGCTATTGCATTGTGGAGAAGTGGCGCGGCTTTGAACGCATCCTCCCCAACAAGACGCGCATCTTGCGCCTCTGGGCCGCCTGGGGCGAAGAGCAGGAGAATGTGCGCTTCGTGCTAGTGCGCAGTGAGGCGTCGCTGCCTAATGCGGGTCCCCGCAGTGCCGAGGCGCGTGTAGTGCTCAGCCGAGAGCGCCCCTGTCCCGCCCGCGGGGCCCCGGCGCGGCCCAGCCTGGCCATGACCCAGGAGAAACAGCGGCGAGTGGTGCGCAAGGCTTTCCGCAAGCTGGCCAAGCTCAACCGGCGGCGCCAGCAGCAGCCACCGTCGTCCTGTTCGTCCACTTCGTCGTCCACTGCCTCGTCCTGCTCTTCGTCGCCGCGGGCCAACGAGAGCGCGTCGGTGGAGCGCATGGAGACGCTGGTGCATCTGGTGCTCTCCCAGGACCACACCATCCGCCAGCAGGTGCAGCGGCTCCACGAGCTGGACCGCGAGATCGACCGCTACGAGGCGAAGGTGCACCTGGACCGCATACGGCGTCACGGAGTCAATTACGTGCAGGACACTTACTTGGTGGGGGCAGGGATCGAGCTCGACGGGTCCAGCCTGGGAGAGGAGCCAGAAGAGGTGGCGGCGGCGGCGGCGGCGGCGCCCCCCGTAGACGGCGAGGCGCAGGTGGCGGCGCTGGAGGAGCTGGCCAGGCGCTGCGACGACTTGCTGCGGCTTCAGGAGGAACGGGTTCAGCAGGAGGAGCTGCTGGAGCGCCTTTCAGCCGAGATTCAGGAGGAACTCAACCAGAGGTGGATGCGGCGGCGCCAGGAGGAGCTGGCGGCGCGGGAGGAGCCCCCGGAGCCCGACGGTGGCCCAGATGGCGAGCTGCTGCTGGAGCAGGAACGGGTCAGGACGCAACTCAGCACCAGCCTTTACATTGGGCTCCGGCTCAACACGGACCTGGAGGCCGTCAAGTCGGATTTGGATTACAGCCAGCAGCAATGGGACAGCAAGGAGCGCGAGCTACAGGGCCTTCTGCAAACTTTGCATACTTTGGAGCTGACGGTGGCACCGGATGGGGCTCCTGGCTCCAGCGGTCCCTCGCGGGAACCTGGGCCTCAGGCCTGCGCCGACATGTGGGTGGACCAGGCCCGTGGGCTGGCCAAGAGCAGTCCTGGCAATGACGAGGATTCGGATACAGGGCTGAGCTCTATGCATAGCCAAGACTCGGACTCTGTGCCCATGTGCGAATCCCTTGTATAGGGCTACCAGGGAGGGAAACAGGGATGAACGTTTCTGTTTTTCTTGCAGAATGTAGTGAGCTGACGGCCTTAGGGACTTGAAACCAGGCTGTTGTGAGCCTGGAGCTCCGGCTGGGCAGCAGCACTCCTACCCAGCTGGGCCTGGGGAGGGCTTAGGACTCCTGCCCAGCCTCCCGCTCCTCTAGCTCCGGGGTGAGTGCGGAGGAGGGTGAGGAATGAAGAAGCAGGGTCCCCAAAACAAGCTCTTTAAAAAGAGGGAAGGAGGGAGGAAGTGAGAACCCCTTATATTGGAAAACGAACACCCCGGGGAAACTGATGTGGTCCCAGCCCATTTTCAAAGTAAGGAAGTATTATGGAGATTTCACTACTCTTCTTTATGGGAAGGATCGATGGCAGCTAGAACTTTAGTTTGTGGTATAAAGTGCTTTTAAAAGAAACACTTGGATGAAAAGGAAATTCCTTGAATGTTAATTGTGACTGTAAACGTGTTAAAACTAGCCAAAGAGGACGCACTGGTGTCAGTCTCAGCCTTTCTTACATCTTTGATAAAACCCATAGGCACCAAAATCCTGACTGTTTACATTTCTGCAGATTTGGGAATTACCCATCTGCTACGTCATTTGTCTTTTATTTTCTTTCAAAGACTAAACTGTATGGAAGTCTAACCCTGTATTTCCTCCTAGTAAACACAGCATGTGTTAAAAGGGAATTCTTTTCCCAAAATAACTTTTTATTATTACAAAAACCAAACAATCATTCTGAGATATAAAATTCTGGCAAACATAATCCTGGTTAAAATTTAATCTGGGCCCTTTGGGATCTGTCTCTGCAAAGGCAGGTGTGTTGTCCTTTAATTCAGATTGCCACTTCATTGACTCAATCACTGTTATTTCAGAAAAAAATAAAAGGAAGTCGCAGAATTCAAGTTACACACAACGAAACTTGCTGTTTAACAAGTACTCTTTGAAAGCAAAGGTGTTAGTGTTCAGCTTTTAAACTGAGCTATGTGATTAAAACCAACCATGACCTCAACAGATTTTACCCAAACTCAAGTCTAACTTCAGTGTCTTTTGTCAGAGATTAATTAGTTACTTGTTCAAACTCAAATTGAGATAGTGTAAATATCAGAGTTTCCTAGATAAGGCCCAAAAATAAAAAAATCAAACAATCTCATAGTATACCTTGGGTGAACAATTTGATTAATGATAGCACATAGCCATGGAAAAAAGATATAAAAGTGAGCTAAGAACTTGAATTACTGTTGTCTGGCTCACGCCTGTGCACATGCCAGGAGATGCAAGTGCAACGCCATCTCAGCAGCTGGTGGGGACTTCGTGTAATTGTTCCAGTTATTTCAATGGAAACTTATCAGTTGTAGCTAGTTGTTGGTCCCACGGAAGGAGCCTACTGGCTGATTTCCCTCTGCAGCTCAGTACCTCTGAGGAATGTGGGATCTAATCTGTCCTGAGGAGGTATTAACAATGGGGCATGTGTGTGGTACCAGCATGGTGCAGAAGCCTCTTATCAACCTACTGTTGAGGGGCTGGCTCCAGTTTCAACACTACATGTGAAGATAACTTAAGAGGTCTTGCTTTATACAGAAGTTTCTTCTCTTGAGAGATTTTCTATCTGCTTGTTGCCAATGGGAGCCTGCCCTTCTGACCTCCTCAAACCACTGTTTGTGCTGTCTCCTTTTTAGAGACAACATCCCCCAACCCCTCCCCTTCACTGCCACCACCACTGCCCTGGTATTTATTACAACACGTGTGCCTGTTTGCAGATTTTCAAATAAAAATGGGAATCAAAAGGCCATTTTCTTAATTGATGTTTTCAAAAGACATTAGCTGGCATAATTATGGTTTTTTAGCTTCATCTGATGCAGAAAACTTCTATGTATTTGGTCTTGAACGTAATTAAAATGAGGAAGAGACCGAAAGAAACCCACCATCCCCAGACAATCGTTTGATCCTGTAAACACCAAGCCTAATGATAGCTTTCGTTCTGAGGCAGAGGTAAAATCCTCATTAGAGTGTGACAAAATGCTACTTGTCTGAATGTTTTATGCCGACAATGGGCTGACCTAGTGGTTTTAAAATTATTGTGCTTTTTTTCTCCCTCAGGGTGGTAAGGGAGGTGATTCTTGGATGTTTATTAACTCAAAAAGAACGCAGAAGTTGGCAGAACAGGACTGCCTGGCACAAAGGGGCTGTTTTCCTTTTCACTGTTATTATTTTAAACTTTGATGGACTGCTGACGTCAGCAAATATGCTTGATGCCTGTAAAGCAAATAAGCCACATTACAGGGCCTGTGGGATTTTTCTGGTGCCCTATTTCTAGAACCTTCCCTGTCCTGACCATTTGAAGATGCTTCTTTAGTCAACTGTTCAGGGAGCTGGGAGGCTTTGTTGATAACAAATGGCAGCCTAGTTGGCCCATTTTTTTTAAAATTTTAATCAAATCAATTATATTCCTAGCAGGTACTCTCTGTGAATAGAAGCAAGCAGTGAGTAGAACAGGCCAGGCACGGGGGAGCAAGGAGCAAGGAGGCAATAGTTCTTTTTAGTAAGAGCTTTTGCAAGCCTGAGAAAGGTGAAATACAGGTAAAAAAAGAAAGCACAAAAACAGTGCCTGTGCATAGTAAGTACTTAATAAATGCTGAATACTTTCCATTTTCATTCACATTCATGGTCACCATGCTACTAAGAATGAGAATAAATGCATAGCAGTGAATGTACCAATGCCAGGATTTGAGGGCCTCTGGGAAAATTAACTCAGCACCTATTCTCCAGGCCTAATGGAAATCCTGGGCAGAAACCAGCAAACTTAAGAAGGGTATGAAATGTAGGTGCCTTACCAGGCAGCCCCATCCTTCTTTTGGAATTAAGATAATTTATTGTAGCTTTGATGTGAGTTGTCCCAGTCTCAGCCGTCTCCCAAACCAAAAGATGCCTTATGGCATCTCTACGTCTGTTTACTTTCTTAAAAAGTGTGTTTATTTTTTGCTGATTAAAAAAGTTGTGTACACTATAGTTCTTACAATGAACCTGAAAATAACATAAATAAAAAGACAAGAAAAGTCACCCTAAATCTCTGTACCAAAACCTATCACTACCAAGATTGGTATATTACTTCCAGACCTTTTGAATTGTGCAGATTTCATATTTCCTTCTGTATTTAAAAATATGTAATTTTGATAAGATTGTATATACGTGTTTATACACAGGTTTTGACAGACTTCCTGTAAACAGATCTGCCCATCTGGTGGATGGACCGTAGTTCACAGAACTGCTCATGTGATCAGTTTGTTTCTCATACTTTTTTTACTGTTGTAAAATAACACCATAATAAGTTTCTTTGTGCATGTATCTGTTTACCTAATTAGACTCCCACCCTTCCCGCACCTTCCAGAAAAAGAATTCTCAGGTCAAAGAGTACGAACATTTAGAGGCTTGATACGTACTGCCAAATTGCTTTTCAAAAGATTGGTTCCAATTAGGATCAGCTATGCATGAGTGCGCCTGTTTCACCACAGCTTAGTTTTCATTAGATATTATATTTTGTTAGGAAAATATTTTAATCAAAATTTACTAATTAATTCTTTATGGCCTTAGGGAGCCAGAGCTGACAATCACTGATTCTTACCACCGGGCGTGGTGGCTCACTCCTGTAATCCCAGCACTTTGGGAGGCTGAGGTAGGCGGATCACCTGAGGTTGGAAGTTTGAGACCAGCCTGACCAACATGGAGAAACCCTTTTCTACTAAAAGTGCAAAAAAATTAGCAGGGCATAGTGGCACATGCCTGTAATCCCAGCTATTTGGGAGGCTGAGGCAGGAGAATCGCTTGAACCTGGGAGACGGAGGTTGCGATGAGCCGAGATTGAGCTGTTGCACTTCAGCCTGGGCAACAAGAGCGAAACTCTATTTCAAAAAAAACTTAAAACAGCAAGGGTGGGCCCATGGATCAGAAGTGTTAAGAGGGTGTGGTGTTTTCTCTCCTTCCCATTTTTTTTCCTTCCCTGAGTACCTGCTTTAGGTAATATTAATAGCAATTTTGTCTCATATCAGAATTGGCCAATGATCTGAGAACGGAAGTTATGTAGAAACTCTACATAAGTAGGACTAAGGAGATAACAAATCAAATCAGTTCTAAAAAGAAAATATTCATTATCTTTTTCATCTTGAGACTAGCAGAAAAGGCTATTCTTCAAAAGTATGCCATAACACATATTTGATTTTGTGCTTCTCCATACTGACCTCTATCAAAAATTAAAATAAAATAAATACACAAACTAAGTTTTTATAAATAGCCTGTAATTAACAGTTTAAATTTTTCTAGGAATTTCTTTCTACATATGCTACACACTTGAGGTTGTTCTTAATATCTTGAAGAGATTTGATTATGACAATCTTTGAAATTTCTGTTGTGAAACTGCTTGTGAAATTTGTTTTCCTAAGCAGAAAGGAAGGCGGATGAGGAGGAACCAACTTTTGTTGAGTTTTTTTGAAATGCCAGATCCTAGTGTTGAGTATTTTCACATGTATTTTCTCTACATTAATATTGTGAGATAGAATGTTTTAATCTCCAATGTTTATAGATTAAGAAACTAAAGCCATTCAGTTGATAAGTAAGAGATGCAGGTTTCCAACCCAAGCCTGACCAAAAAATCTGTGCCCTTGTTGCTACACACAGCACATACATTATGCACAGTACGTGTTCAGCACATCCAGAAGAAAGAGTCCCCATGGCTCCAGAGTGTTGCCACTGGAAAGGCTTCAGAGATGATTAAAGTCTTGGCCAGGTTTTTCTACCAGGGAGGTGGAATGCTTTCCACAGTATCACACTTTTGCTAAATCTACTAGGTAAATATTTAGCAAAAGACAGAAGAGGGGAAATTCCTATGTAAATATTTGGGCAGCATCTGGGAGAATGAAAAAAAAATTCTTAAAAAATTAATATTCCCTGTGTTAGCATGGAGGTTTTGACTGAATGCCCCATGGGCTGTAGTTGCTCTTCAGAGCAGAGGTACATAGTCAGTCAGCAACATGGAATCCTCAGCCATCAGGGCAGACAGTGGTGTGCTAGTCACACTCACATCTGGAAGGTGGTACCAACCATGGATGTGCTGGTGGGAGCTGTCCGCAGCACTTTTTACAGGCCTTGTTTCTGTTTGAGCCTTTGGGTACCTGAGAATGAGGGAGGAGTTGAAGGAAGGAGTGCTAGCTCTCCAAGGATCTTTGTGTGTGGCATTAGGTATACACACCTGACTCAGTGCATCTTTGGCTCCGTTGACCCCATCATGCTCATGGAGGCCTTGCATTGGTTGCTTTGAAGGCATGCTACCCCCAGACTCTCCCCTTCCCAAACATTTCCATGGAAATCTTTCCTGTTACAGATAATTCTAGGATTTCCCATAGCTTTCAAGATAAAATCCACATTTCTCAGCAGGATTGATAAGGTTGTTTGTTTTCCAGCTCAAGATCCCTCCCTTAGGTCCACCCTCCCCTACTTAAGACCACAGAATTGAATTGATCCTATTTCTTCATTCAGGTCACACTATCATCCTCCTTTTACGCATGTGCCCTTTTCTATCCTCATTTTACTTCATGTTCCCCTTCCCATTCCCACCTCCATTTCCCTCCTTGATCTTGTGATAGGCACCTATTCCAACATATTAATCTATACCCTTCCAAACCACCATATATATTTAAGGCTGCCATGTTGCACACTGTGCTAGTCACACTCACACCTGGAGTGTAACTAGCATACAGCGTGCAACATGGCAGCTCCCATTCTCACTCCCTTTTCCCTGCTTGCTCTCACGATAGGCACCTATTCCAACACATTAACTACAACATTTCAAACCATCTTGAATATTCAGGGCTGCCATGTCGTACACCCTCAGGGGGCACCAATCATGTTATATTCTGGCATCTTGCCCCAAAGGGCACCATTCGCATGGACAACTGTGTAAATGGTAACCCTGAGACTAAGCAATGAGCTGGCACAGTTCACATGCTTGTGTATGCGTATGTATCCTTGACAGTAGAATGAAACTGTCTGTATGCTTCTGTTTGATATATATGACTTTATTGAGCTATAAAGCTTATTATATTTCTTTCTTTTTCACATGACATTAGTTTGTGCAAGCATTCTGCATTGGTATATGCAAATTTAAAATTTTCTATGTACAAGATTATGGCATTTGCAAACAGATATAATTTTACTTCCCTTTTCAATTTGGACTCCTTTTATTTAATTTTCATGCCTAATTTCTCTGCTTAAAACTTTTAATACTATATTGAATAGAAGTAGTGAAAGTGGACATCCTTGTCTTGATTTTGATATTCAGGAAAAAACTTTCAGTCTTTCACCATTGAGTATAATGTTTGCTGTGGAGTTTTCATATGTAGCCTAGATCATGTTGAAGATGTTTCCTTCTATTCCTAGTTACTGAAATTTTTTTTAAATCAAGAAAGGGTATTTAATTTTGTCAAATGCTTTTTCTGCATAAATTGAGAGGGTTTTTTTTCTTCATTTTTAAAATGTGGTATATTACATTGATTTTCATACATTGATCCCTCCTTGCAAAACAGGAATAAATCCCACTTGGTCATGATACACAATCTTTTTAACATATTGCCAACTTTGGTTCATATTTTGTTGAGGTTTTTTTTTTTTTTTTTTTTAGACAGAGTCTTGCTCTGTCACCAGGCTGGAGTGCAGTGGTGGATTCTCGGCTCACTGCAGCCTCCGCCTCCTGGGTTCAAGCGATTCTTCCACCTCAGCCTCCTGAGTAGCTGGGACTACAGGTGCTTGCCACCATGCCTGGCTAATTTTTTTGTATTTTTAGTAGAGACGGGGATTCACTGGCTTGGCCAGAATGGTCTCAATCTCTTGACCTCGTGATTCACCCGCCTCTGCCTCCCAAAGTACTGGGATTACAGGCGTGAGCCACCATGCCCGGTCTTTGTTGAGATTTTTATATCAGTATTCATAGGGGATACTGGTCTGTAGTTTTCTATTATCTCAGTGTCTGTCTGGTTTTGGTACGAGGATAATGTTGGTATAGAATGAGTTAGAGAGTATTTCTTCTTGAATTTTTTAGATGAGTTTGGAAGAATTGGTGTTAATTCTTCTTTAAATGTTTGGTAGAATTCACCGGTGAAGCCATCTGATCCAGGACTTTTCTTTATTGGGAGGTTTTTGATTACGATTCAACTTTCTTATTGGTTATAATATAATATATAATATAATCAATTTTTTCATGTCTTCATGATCTAATTTTGGTAGGTTGTGTGTTTTTAGAAAATCATTTATTTCATCTAGATTATCCAATATGTTGGCATACAATTATTCATAATATTCTCTTTTAATCCTTTTTTTTTCTATGAAATCTGTAATAATGTCCCCACTTTTATTTCTGATCTTGGTAATTTGAGTCTTTAATCCTTTTTCCTTAGTCAATCCAGTTGAAGATTTGTCAATTTTGTTGATCTTTTCAAATAATTACTTTTGGTTTATCGATTTTTCTTTTTCGTTGCTCTATTCTCTGTTTCATTGATCTCTGCTCTAATCTTTATTATTTCCTTCCTTCTGCTAGCTAAGAGTTTAATTTGCCCTTTTTTTCTAGATCCTTATGGCGTAAAGCTGAGTTATTGATCTGAGATCATTTTTTAAAAATGTATATGTTTAGAGCTATAAATCTTACTGTTAGCACTGCTTTCACTGAATCCCATCAGTTTAGTGTAGTGGTTTCTTGTTTGTTTTCATTTGTCTCAAGATTTTATAATTTCTCTTGTGATTTCTTCTTTGATTTATTAGTTGTTGAAGGATATTTTATTTAATTTTCACATATTTCTGAATTTTCCAGTTTTCCTTGTTATTTTTAGCTCATTCCTTTATGACCAGAAAATATATTTTGTATGATTTCAATTTCTTAAATTTATTAAGACTTGTTTGTGACCTACCATATGATCTATCCTGGAGAATGTTCCATATGCACTTGAGAAAAATGTGTATTCAGCTGTTGTTGCATATATCTGTTAGGTGTAACTAGTTTATGGCTTTGATCAAGTTCT